GTTGCAAAATTTTTTGTTATAATGGCTATTACATTTTTTGCATTAACCATTTATAAAATACTATCGTTTGTTGCATTGCCCACAACATAATGGCAACAACAATTCAATAAACTCTATTTCAAGTTTTCTACAAAGATCAGCAGCCCTTCAATATGTCAAAGGATTAAGGGGGAGGGGGCTTATATGGACAACACAGATTAATATTATTGGGTCACAGATACTTACAAAAGTAAGTTACAATATTTTTAGAACTATATATATTTTAGCCGATGTGTTACTGTTTATTCTTTTTTTTTTGAAATCAAGTTATTTTTAATCTCCCTTGATCAGCTTGAAGTGATAGACTTATTAGTAAAATCAAATGATATAGCGCTAACACTGCCAGATTGTGTGGCATCTGTTTGCTTCACATGTTTGACATCACACACATGTGGTGAATTAATGTGTGCAAAACTTTGAATTATGTGTTTGAAACGTAATATGCCGAGTGTCATATCGACTTTGATATTCTTTGATATATAATTGAAAAACATGTGAATAATGATCTATACACTTTGATTTGCTTCCTCCATATAATAGAAATGTTGATCATAAGAACTACAATTAATCTATCATTCAACGTTGTAATAATGTATGTAAGGGTTCTTCATTGATCGCACATTTGCTCCCTGGTTCAAAGGTTCATACTCAATAAGCAACTACAAATGTTGGTAGTGATGTCTTTTGTCTCCTTGATGAGCCTATTTCGTCCATGTTCCCAGTGTTTTTTCCATCTTATTTATAAACTTATATCATCAAATAATTCTACAACATGGGATCACTATTCTTCATATCATACAGATCTAAATCATCAGATGCAATCTGTGATCCAGAGTTTAAAACATCTTAAGCTCAATATGCATTGTGCCAATGGCATACACAATCAAAAGAGCTTGTGGATGGCAGGTTGGAGTGCTTCATCCACAAAGGGTTTGCACCAAATGATGTATTCCCATGCGAATGATCTAATTAGCTCACACCAGCTTGAAGCACAAGAACACACATCACAGATGCAGCCAGAACAACAACCGCATCAAACTTTTGATGACGATATTATGGGTCAATGGCAGCAGCCATGGAAGTTTTGATAATATTTATTTTTAGACATTTGATTTCGGGAGGCATACTTCAAATTAAGAACTATTCTAGTAGGACTTTCTATGTGTGGGAATGATATTTACCCTTGCTAAGTCTTATTTCATTGTTTTGAACTTATTTCAGTTGTTTATTGTAGTTTATCTATTGTATATAATTTCTTTAGGTTGGAACTTATTTTATTTAATTGCGTCTTTTTACTTTGATGGGTTATTGCATTTATCCCAGTGCATGGTCATTCTTTAGACTTACGTCTTCTCTAGGTTGTACCCGCTGCTAGCGGCATCGCAGCATTTCTCCACATACATTTGTGGCGCCTCTTCCTACTAGGACCACCATTTTCTAGTCCTCTTCATCATGCTCGGCTGACCACGCATAGCCAATGTCGGACTCAGAGCTGCCTCCACTGTGGTCGAGCCTAGAAAGACGACAGTATGGTCTGCTGCCTTCAGGACACTTACACAGTATTGTCTGCCTAGCAGTAGCAGCATTCCCTGGAACTGTAACGGTTCCATGCCCATTTATTTCTAGTCGAAGGAGCAAGCATGCTACAACAGCTGAGAGACCTGCTATCTCTGTGGTCATCTACTGTGAGCAGCAGCTGCGACTAGAGCATTGGGAGTAGTGTCGTGGGTAGTTGGGCAGCCAAGCTGGCGTTAGCCAACAAGTTCGACATGATGAGCATTGGTTGCTACAGCAGTAGTGCTGGGGCAAAAATGCCCTAGAACTACATATCCTTATTTGTGGAAAACTGCACTGCCCTTGTGCCCGTTGTGCCAAAGCTGATACTTCAGCGTATATGGACAAACCTAGGTTGCCACCACGGTCGCCAGCTCTTGGAGCTAGCGCTAGCAGCAACATGTCGCGAAGGGGCTGCACCAAGGAGCACTTCTTCTCTGAAGCTGACATGGAGACGATCAATATGGACAATCGACTCAAGGATCTCGTAAAAATAGATTCTAAGATGGTCAAGAAGTAAGTTCGTTCATGGATTTCCAATATGTCATGTTCAATTTTGTAGTGACCATGCATGTGGGGTATATATTTATCAAAGTGCTCAACCTTTTAGTTTTGCCTCTGATGTTCTTAATTTCCTCCGTTTCAATTCTTCTATAAAATTGCAGGATTCTCCGTAACCGGGAATACGTAGAACAGCAGTAGGTGCAAAAAGCAAACCACATCCAAGATCTTCAGTGCCGGGCTAATGCACTAAAGATGTAGTGCAGGTCATTATCTCCACAAGTGCAGTCACAGCAGGTTTGTACTATAGTTGTGTGCTGACCACAGCATCTAGGAGAAATAACATTATTTCTAGAGCAACGATGTAAGTGGTTGATATTTATATTATTTGTCTACCCAGGACATGCTTGATAACCGTAGGACAGAGAACTACGAGGTGCAAATAAAGTTAAAGGGGCTGAATGAGCAAGCAAAATTTCAAACAAGGTGAGCTTGTTTGTTGTTGCCTTGTAGTCAAGGGTTAATTCATTTAAGTTTAGATCTTGGAGTGTGTTAGATGATGGTATGCATGCTTTGCAAAAATATATACAATTCAATAGTTTCGAGTTCTTTAAGTTGATGAATCCTTGATGGACGACTTTCCTCCTCAAGCCATTTAGTTTTTGGATTGCACGTATATAAGGTTCTACAGAGTGTTGTGTATAGAAGAAAATGGGACATTTCCTTGAGTCTCACTCTATCCTTCCCTATACTTGGAGCTCCAACATAGCAAAAAACTAGATAGACGCATAGGTATAAGGTTGATCAATCTCTCCGTGCGTATTTTCTTGGATGTTCAAAATGTTTGTCATACATTTAATTGTGCCATCGTTTTGTGGCTACTATTCATAGATTTTCCAATTCGTAGTTGTGTGTGTTGCAAATTTTTTTGTTATAATGGCTATTACATTTTTTGCATTAAACATTTATAAAACACTATCGTTTGTTGCATTGCCCACAACATAATGGCAACAACAATTCAATAAACTCTATTTCAAATTTTCTACAAAGATCAGCAGCCCTTCAATATGTCAAAGGATTAAGGGGGAGGGGGCTTATATGGACAACACAGATTAATATTATTGGGTCACAGATACTTACAAAAGTAAGTTACAATATTTTTAGAACTATATATATTTTAGCCGATGTGTTACTGTTTATTCTTTTTTTTGAAATCAAGTTATTTTTAATCTCCCTTGATCAGCTTGAAGTGATAGACTTATTAATAAATTCAAATGATATAGCGCTAACACTGCCAGATTGTGTGGCATCTGTTTGCTTCACATGTTTGACATCACACACATGTGGTGAATTAATGTGTGTAAAACTTTGAATTATGTGTTTGAAACGTAATATGCCGAGTGTCATATCGACTTTGATATTCTTTGATATATAATTGAAAAACATGTGAATAATGATCTATACACTTTGATCTGCTTCCTCCCTATATTAGAAATGTTGATCATAAGATCTGCAATTAATCTATCATTCAACGTTGTAATAATGTATGTAAGGGTTCTTCATTGATCGCACATTTGCTCCCTGGTTCAAAGGTTCATACTCAATAAACAACTAAAAATGTTGGTAGTGATGTCTTTTGTCTCCTTGATGAGCCTATTTCGTCCATGTTCCTAGTATTTTTTCCTTCTTATTTATAAACTTATATCATCAAATAATTCTACAACATGGGATCACTATTCTTCATATCATAGAGATCTAAATCATCAGTTGCAATCTATGATCCAAAGTTTAAAACATCTTAAGCTCAATATGCTTTGTGCCAATGGCATACACAATCAAAAGAGCTCGTGGATGGCAGGTTGGAGTGCTTCATCCACAAAGGGTTTGCACCAAATGATGTATTCCCATGCGAATGATCTAATTAGCTCACACCAGCTTGAAGCACAGGAACACACATCACAGATGCAGCCAGAACAACAACCGCATCAAACTTTTGATGACGATCTTATGGGTCAATGGCAGCAGCCATGGAAGTTTTGATAATATTTATTTTTAGACATTTAATTTCGGGAGGCATACTTCATATTAAGAACTATTCTATTAGGACTTTCTATGTGTGGGAATGATATTTATCCTTGCTAAGTCTTATTTCATTGTTTTGAACTTATTTCGGTTGTTTATTGTAGTTCATCTATTGTATATAATTTCTTTAGGTTGGAACTTATTTTATTTAATTGAGTCTTTTTACTTTGATGGGTTATTGCATTTATCCCAGTGCATGGTCATTCTTTAGACTTACGTCTTCTCTGGGTTGTACCCGCTGCCAGCGGCATCGCAGCATTTCTCCACATACATTTGTGGCGCCTCTTCCTACCAGGACCACCATTTTCTAGTCCTCTTCATCATGCTCGGCTGACCACGCACAGCCATTGTCGGACTCAGAGCTGCCCCCACTGCGGTCGAGCCTAGAAATACGACAGTATGGTCTGCCACCTTTAGGACACTTACACAGTATGGTCTGCCTAGCAGTAGCAATATTCCCTGGAACTGTAACGGTTCCATGCCCATTTATTTCCAGTCGGAGGAGCAAGCACGCTACAACAGCTGAGAGACCTGCTATCTCTGTGGTCATCTACTGTGAGCAGCAGCTGTGACCAGAGCATGGGGAGTAGTGTCGTGGGTAGTTGGGCAGCCAAGCTAGCGTTGGCCAACAAGTTCGACATGATGAGCATTGGTTGCTACAGCAGTAGTGCTAGGGCGAAAATGCCCTAGAACTACATATCCTTATTTGTGGAAACCTGCACTGCCCTTGTGCCCGTCGTGCCAAAGCTGATACTTGGGCGTATATGGACAAACTTAGGTTGCCACCACGGTCGCCAGCTCTTGGAGCTAGCGCTACCAGCAACATGACGCGAAGGGGCTGCACCAAGGAGCACTTCTTCTCTGAAGCTGACATGGAGACGATCAATATGGACGATCGTCTCAAGGATCTCGTGAAAATAGATTCTAAGATGGTCAAGAAGTACGTTCGTTCATGGATTTCCAATATGTCATGTTCAATTTTGTAGTGGCCATGCATGTGGGGTATATATTCATCAAAGTGCTCAACCTTTTAGTTTTGCCTCTGATGTTCTTAATTTCCTCCATTTCAATTCTTCTATAAAATTGCAGGATTCTCCGTAACCGGGAATACGCAGCACAGCAGTAGGTGCAAAAAGCAAACCACATCCAAGATCTTCAGCGCCGGGCTGATGCACTAAAGATGTAGTGCAGGTCATTATCTCCACAAGTGCAGTCACAGCAGGTTTGTACTATAGTTGTGTGCTGACCACAACATCCAGGAGAAATAACATTATTTCTAGAGCGATGATGTAAGTGGTTGATATTTATATTATTTGTCTATCCAGGAGATGCTTGATAACCTCAGGATAGAGAACTGCGAGGTGCAAATAAAGTTAAAGGGGCTGAATGAGCAAGCAAAATTTGAAACAAGGTGAGCTTGTTTGTTGTTGCCTTGTAGTCAAGGGTTAATTCATTTAAGTTTAGATCTTGGAGTGTGTTAGATGATGGTATGCATTGTCACACCCAGTTTTAAAGACAAAACTGAGTATTAACTATATGTGTGCCTAGGAAGTCAAATCACACATACAGCGACAAATTACAATAGTATCAAGAGACAATGCTTTATTATACAACGAAACATACTCATATTAAATACTTACATCATAGTATCGCGGAATGGTAGCTAATATTTAGGCTCCATTCTTCACAGGGACGGCTGACTGGGGCTACGTATGCCAAACACTTCTGATAGTATCCTGAGAACTCCTTCATTGTCTTGACCAATCTTCTGAGCAACTTTTACTAGAGTCTGGGGGTGTGGGGAAATAGCAAGGGTGAGCACATGTCGTACTCAGCAAATATAACACGGGGTTCATGAGGCTCAAAATGCTAACACTAGTTTAACTGCGATTAGCCTTTAATTGTCATAATTTTAGCATAGGAGTAGAAACAAGTTTATTACAAGCCCATATAAACACATGATCAGTTAAACATGAATAATGAATAGCATAAACAGTAATCATTCGTGAGCATCTTCATCATCCATATCATTAGTGTTCATCATCTATTCCGTAAGGGTTCCAAGGCCGCTCGTGACTGTGAGCACAGCTGATATACCAGTTTTACACTCTACAGAGGTTGTACACTTTTACTGTGAGTCGTGATTTACCCTTTCGCCCGAGGCGGCCAACCTCTTGACCCACTTCCAAGGAAGGTCGGCAGGGTTCACTATGAAGCCTTTCAAAGGTTCGTCTAACAAGTTAGGGCCGCTAGGTTTCTGTGGCCTGCGAATGTAGAGCTCCCCTTCCGACAGGCACAATGACGCGCAGCCTATACACTGACGGATAGAGGCCGCACTATATCCAACCCGGAACACACCCCTCTTGCGCCATAAAGGTAACCACTAACAAGCTAGAAAAGGTCCTCATACTGAGCTAAAGCCAGAGCCATGTAGCCCTCACAGCTGTACTGTAAGTCTTGGATGATCACTTACAGATAAGTCCTTAGGGAGAGGAATCTAGAGCACCATAAAATAGCCCAATGCTCTAGCCCCCTTGTTCTATATTGCTAAAAAGCATCTTTTAAGGTTTATTGCATATACCATTAGTCAAGTTACGAGATCATGGCTTTAGTTGAGCACTAGCATCATACTACCCAATGCAATACTCCATAGGTATCAAGGTATAAGTACAAAAGACGAGGGTATCCTTAGTGGTAGTCAAGGTAGACACATGCAATATGAATTAAATGATTAAAGGTGAATAGGTAACAAGAATGGTCCCATGCTATACTTGCCTTAACACTTGATCAAACTCCCTCTTACTTTGCTTCTGGTCATCACCACCTTCTAATCTTCAGCGCTCACAAACGGTTCTCGTTCTACTCATAGCAAACATCACGCATAGGAAAACATGCAAGAAACAAACATAGAAAACTAAGAACAGTACACCACACAAGAGAAAACAACGTACTAAAAGAGAGCTAGTTACTACGGTCACAAGATCACAAGAAACACCGAAAAACGATGCTACCGTTAGAAAGAACGGCTATCGAAAAGTTTACATTATAAAAGGGAAATAAAGACTACGTACTTGATTTATTTTAATTAAATAAAACCATACGATAGTTATTAACTCAGATTAGTTAAATTATATTTTGGTTCAAAGCCGAGTTAAAAGTAATCATGTTTTATTTATAAATATTATCGTATAGTTTTAAGCAAGTTAGATTTTAACTTTGCAAAATAAAATAACATGTCAGATCATTTATTCGAATTATACATGGTGCGTGTTTACACTAACCAAATTATTATTTACAAACATATTTATGTTGCTATTAATCAAGTTAACAGTGGCGCATAAAAAAATGATTGTTAATCTCCATGTTATTTTTAATTTGGAAAGCAATGTGAACAGACATTAGTCAAAATTAATATTTAAACTAAAAATTTAGAAAAACATGAAGCGTGTTAAACTTCGTTGTCATACAGTAGACTACATCGATTCCAACGTGACACGGAAAGAATAGATTAAAGCGTGGCTAAAGCGGTTAAGATATGAACATATATAACTACAGAGACTGAATGGCAGCCTGAGCAGCTCCACGACCGTATATGAACGGTACAATTTCTTGACTGAGGAATAAATAGAGAATGATGATTTATTATGCATGAATGACAAGGCATGACATCAGCACAATATTTAATCACTAAAATAATGGACAATGAGGTGATGCTGACCTTTTATTAATCGGCCATCGATCAGTAGTTTGCTAGTGATGTAAGCAACAACGTTGGTGCTGGTTCAGAGCACGACGACTTGCAAGATTACAGCACAAATATAGCTTGTTTTGCAGGTGAGCGAGTCAAGACTTGTGGCCGCCAGCTTGTTTTGTTGGAGATGCATGGATCGACAAGCGAACAAGTTCAGAGCAACTCTCGTATGTGCACGGCAGGAGGATTTTGGCTTGTTCATGTGCACGTAGACTTAGGCATGCATGGTGCTTGCAAGTTGTGTTGACGGCACGCTGGACACGAAAGCTCACGAGTGGTGGCCGGTCTTGCGGAAGATGCAGGCTCGGCTTCTGCTCCGGCAAGAGAACATGCACAGCTGACGCAGGGCCATGGAACAGGCCGGAACGGCCCACATGTTTGACGGCCGGCGGCTACTTCGGCTTGGCACAGGAGCACCCATGTAAGGCAGACGGTATCCACGACAGTCAGCAGGGTCGTCTGGACTGCAGCTACGTGCAGGCGAAGGCGAGCAACGAAGGGCCTGTGTGTCGTCCCAGCGAGGCTCCAGACACCTACGGCTCCAGGCGGCGTGGCGCGAGGTGAGACGTCCAACGCAGGCAGCGACAGACGCGATCTAGGGCAGGAATAGGAGTCGATCAATTCTGCTGAGAAAAGAAAAAAGAAACAAAACGAGAATGCGACCTGCTATATCAAGGAACTGAACATGTGGGGTTAGATCAGTCGGAGTGTGAATTTTGATTAAAGATAAGCCCAACTCATGATTATTAACCATCCGTAGATGAAAGAAGATATATACACTAGCAAAAACATGTATGTACGTGTGACAGGGTACCTGATGTGTTTGAACAGAGGTTGCACCAGGCAAAACACGTAGCAGGTAGCTAGCTAGTTGATGAACTGAACATGTTGCTAGTTGATGAAATAGACGAACAATGGACAAATTCGACAAGATTACCATGCCATCCGTGGTTTGCTTCGTGCATGCTCTGGCCGGAAGCAACACAGGATCGGCTCGACCGAGATGATGTGGGGCTGGCTTCAGGGCAGGGCAGTGCGCTGACTCGCGCGGCCAGGACAAGATGATGACGGCACACGCTGAGCACGGACGGCCGGAGTAGAATCTCCACGCTCGCGCATAGAGGCAGCGCGGTCACGCTCGCTTGGCAGACTACGGCGGCGGCGGCGATAACAGAAGGAGGAGAAAAATATAATTTACTACACGAGGGATTTCTCAAACTAGGGCGCCTCTTATAGTAGTTTTGGTGTGCTTTACCTAAGGGTTGGTACAGATTTATAGGAAGAAAAACTCCCCACATCTACATTAACTAGCAATATGGTACTCATTGATGTTGCACCCTCCACATTTACTAATGGACCTGAATAATCATTAAAGCTCATTAGTAAATAAATGCATGGGCTCTTAGGATTTATTAGGATTATTGCACATGGGCTTTGAGCGTTGGGAAAAATGAGAGATTTATTATTTTCGGAATTAAATAATTTCGTGGATAAAATAATTCCAGAAAAATCTAGAATTATTATTTAAGCCGCGAAACGTACTCCAAAAGCTCTAAAAATTCAGGAAAAGTTCCCAGAGACATTATGGAACATGAGGAGCCAAAATAAAGTATTTGGAGCCCATGATAAGATAATTTGGAGCATCTAAAAATTAAATTATGCTCATAGATAAGTAGGAACGAGTTCTAGAAAAATTCCCGAGAAATTTGTAGAGATTGATTGACTGGATGAGGAACTAAAAAGAGTGATTTACGTTAGAAAGAAAAGATTTTAGGAAGCTCCAAACGAAAACTTGAGCCGAGAAACAAAGAATTTGATCGTAGAAAAAGATAAAGACGTGCCGCAGAAGGAAAATTGATCTACTAACTTATTTTAAAGACTTTGCTCACTCTCAACATACAAAGAAGCAACAAGCAAACATCACATCATCCAAACGCCCGTCAAAATTAGAACGTTTGAAAATTCATATTTTTTCTACAACTAAATTTGCGCTATCTCAAACTAAACTTGGTAAATTTTATCCAAATATTAAAATAATTCTTTTTATTTAGTGTTTTCTATGCACAACCCAAAATCGGAAATTTTGGGCTGTGACATGCATGCTTTGCAAAAATATATACAATTCAATAGTTTCGAGTTCTTTAAGTTGATGAATCCTTGATGGACGACTTTCCTCCTCAAGTCATTTAGTTTTTGGATTGCACGTATATAAGGTTCTACAGAGTGTTGTGTATAGAAGAAAATGGGACATTTCCTTGAGTCTCACTCTATCCTTCCCTATACTAAGAGCTCCAACACAGCAAAAACTAGATAGACGCATGGGTATAAGGTTGACCAATCTCTTCATGTGTATTTTCTTGGATGTTCGAAATGTT